AACCATCACACTTCCATACCAGGACTGATAAATCACCCATTTAGTTGCATTATACACCAAATATTGCTCACTGTTCTAAACAGAGTGGTAAGTGCTCAGTTTTAATGGGATCCCCTCATATTAAGCAGCATCAGTTTCTGTGTATGTTCCCCAAAACATATAGAAGACACACCTCTCACAATGTTCCTTAAAACACCAAAGTGGCACCATAATGTGGGCGGGCTATCCCGAGCAGGCTCACTCCAGCTGATTACCATGTCTCACATCCAGATCAGCTGATCTTATTGGGAGCTTTATTTAAATCTGCTTCAGCCTCCCTGCCTCTGCTGCTTCCTCTGCATGCTGCTCGCACCTTCGATCATCTAATGAGAAACCCTAAATTGCTGTTTGTGCTGCGTCTCACCTTGGTACTCATCATGTCGACTCCTGTCTGTGATGCTGTTCCATGGCATAATGATTACATCTTGGAGACTCAGTCCCAGTGATCCGAAACTGAGGAAGCCTCTGGAGAAGGGAGCCCCATAGCCACCTCGTCTAGCAGGCGAGACTCTCTTGACTCCCAGCATCAATGATTGGCCTGTGCCAAAGCTCCTGGAAACCTTATTTAAAAATCAAATCGTAGCTTCCCATGAATATTTGTTTGCATTATTCTTGTCAAATGTCCACTCCAAACATCCTCCTGCAGTCCTGTCATCCTCTGCCCCCAGGAAATGCTCAAGGAAGAGAAAATACACCTCTAATGATTCTGTTGCAACTCCTGTCTCGGCAGCTAAGCAGGCATGTGCCCCTCCATCTACCTCCACCACCTTGGAGGCCAATCTCGTACTGTCCGCTCTGTCTGACATCCAGTCATCGATCAACAGCATGAACTCTAGGATTCAAACTCCGCATCTTCGGCAGGCACCTTCTCAGCTCAGGGATGGGTCCCGGCATCGGCTTCCACTTCACTGACAGGTCCGGCACCAGTGCAGGCCAATAACGTCGCCCCTGTGCACATCAATGGCATCACCTTCCTGCGGAGGAAACTGGGAAGTGTACTCCCCATTTTCTCCGGCATTCTGTTCTTTCCCCTGGCTGCTGAAATCTCTCCCAGTCTAAGAAGCCAGATTCTCGTAGGTAACACCATTAATCTTTTTAAGATCCTGCTGCGTTCAGAGCTCTCAGATAGGCATATTGTGGATTGTGGTGATATGTCAGTTCTACTTAAGGATAGTGATCCATGATTGTCAAAATCTCTGTCTCTGGCCGAAATTGATATAGCATTCGGTCTATTCCGAGATGATATATGTGAAGTTTACCCATCTTGCAACTCAGAGCTCGATACATATCCAGCCATTGTCTCAGACCTGGCCATGTCATATGGAGGGGCTTTATTCTATGAGTACCATCTGCCAAAGCCGTCATATACATCCACCGCTTCATCCAAAGACTAGACTGGTCAGTTGTTGATCTGGCACTTATCAGCAGACATTTCACAGGGCACCAGGCTCTCTCCTGTTCAATCTGTGGCTCTTTTTCTCATTCTCCAAAACTGTGCCCAAAAACTGCAATTCCTGATCATTCATCCAAACCCGTCTCAGGCCCCCATCAGGAAGAGTCCAAGTTACTGCGGAGAAGGGCATCCAAAGTCTGTGTGCCCGAGACAAACCCGCTTCATGAAAAAAGACAAGAAAAAATAAAGCCATCAATGCCAGTCAACATCTTCGAGCTGGGGAAAGCATTGGAAAGCATCTAAACCGCTGCTTTGTCAATTATTTGATCACAGGTCTTGTTCAGGCTTTCTAGCTGGACTGATTTGGCTTCCAAAAGTGTCTGTTGTTTGTAACAATTTCTAATCTGCTTTAAAGGAGCGTGAGGTAGTGGATGATCTGCTGGCAAAAGAAGTTAGAAAAAGTTTCATGATCGGCCCATATGATAAGTCTCCTTTCCTATAACTCGCATTAATCCTATGTTTAGCTACTCGAAAAATCTCAGGAAAAAAGCGCTTAATTGTAGACCTCTCTGCCCCTCACAATGATGAAACTCAGAGCATTAATAGTCTCATCTCTCTGACACCCTTTTCTTTGTATCACGCTATGGTTGATAATGCCATCAGCTTTATTAAGAAGGCAGTCAGAAATGCGTGGCTAGCCAAGGTGGATATTACAGATGCGTTTAAGGTAACGCCTTTGCATCCATCTCAGTGGCACTTATTTGGCGTCAAGTGAAAGGAAAAAATGTATTAAGCAGTTAGACTCACTTTTGGTTGTCACAGCAGCTGAATAATATTTGATACTTTATCAGAGGCGCTCTGCTGGATCCTCCTCAACAATTGTAGACTGCCTTTCGTGCTCCACCTGCTGGATGATTTTTTGCTGGTCGATCATCCACACTCTAAGCCAGATCGCTGCATTTCAGCCCTCAAGCGTACCTTTGCCAGACTGGGTATCCCTCTTTTAGAGGAGAAGACATTAGGTCCGCAACATGTCATAGAATTTCTGGGTATCACCTTAGATAGCTGCTTGATGCAAGCCTTTCTGCCTCTGGAGAAATGAAATCGCATCAGGGAGGTAATGAGGAATGCTCTAGGTGTGGCATTTATATCAAAAAGAGAGCTGCTTTCTTTGCTCGGACACATCAGTTTTGCCCCACGCATCATCCCTCAAGGTCACGCTTTCGTGTCCAGACTCCTGGACCTCTCTAAGTCAGTCAAAAAGCTGCATTACTTCGTAAAACTGGATGCCGGCTGCAGATCTGAGCTTCGATTCTGGTCACTTCTACTAGATAAATGGAATGGCATTTCATTCTTTTACAAGAACTTTGAATCTTCATTTGCTTTGAAGTTGTACGCAGATGCTGCGCCTTCTGTTGGTTTTAGGGATTTTTCCAATAATCAGTGGTTTGCTGATGTGTGGCCAAAAGAAATAACTTCCTTGCCAGCTAATGTAGCTTCCACTGCCCTAATGGAAATATATTCTATTGTCATCGCATGTCTCTTGTGGAGTGAAAGCTGGTCAAGAAAACAAATTCTCTTTTTCTGCAATAATGAAGCTACTGTTAATGTTATTAACGAGGGCCGCTCGTCAGTCCCATTCATCAACAGATTAGTGAGGCGTCTGGTATGGACTTCTGTAATGAATAATTTTATTATAACAGCAGTTCACATTCCAGGTTTGGATAATCAAATTGCCGATTCTTTGTCCCGATTTAAATTTCAGAAATTTCGCCAGCTGTGCCCTTGCAGTCCTATATGTGCTCCGCCACTCACTACATACGGTCAGGATTAGCTAAATCCACATTAAAAATGTATTATGCAGAAAGGTCCTATTTTGTCTTGTTTTCTGCCACTTTATCTGTACCACTTTCACTTGTTAATATCAACATGATATGACATATGCAGTCAATTGTTTTGAATCAAAAAAGATGCAGCCTTCATCTATAAGGGGACTTGTAGCAGGTATTCAATTCCAGCTCCGTTGTCTGGACCCATCCACCATCAGCCTGCTCCAAAACCCATCAATCCACCTCTTGCTAAATGGACTTAAGAGAGAAAAACCACAAGGCAAAGATATTCACCTCCCTTTCACTCTCCCTCTCGTGGACAAATTAATTTCTCATTTAAGAGCTGAGTGCTTTTGTCTTTACACAGATTTGTTGTTGGAAACGGTCATTGTAACGGCTTTCTATGGATTTCTCAGAGGTGGGGAATTCACTACAAGCAATGATTCCTTTAATCCTTGTCACAACCTCACTATTGCTGATGTATCACTGCACCCACTTTACTTCACCTTACTTCTCAAGCATTCCAAAACTAATAGGGATAAGAAAGGAATATTAATCTATATTTCCTTCATTAATTCTGCTTTTTGTCCTCTGTCTTCCATGACTTGCTTCCTGAGAAGCCACCCTCTTGCTACTCTACAAGAGCCGCTGTTTGCTACTGAAAAGGGAAAGCCCATGTTTAAGGCCTGGTTTGCCTCCTGCCTGCGCCTCTTTGGCCAGTTCTGTGGTTTACTTCCTGATCGCTACACCACCCATTCTCTGCGCATTGGTGCAGCGACAACAGCAGCTGCATCAACCTCCGTGGCAGTCAATGGGCAGATGGCCTTCATCTGCTTATGAACATTACCGCCGTCCTGAGGCTAAAGACATTCTGGAAGCTCAAAAGGCAATGGGTGCCCTATGAATTAATGCAATAAATGTGTGGATTCATGCTAAAGCTCATTTATTTATTTCAAGGTCTGAAAACTATCTGAGATGCAGTGATTTATCTGCATTTAGAGTGCAAGCTGCCTGTTGTCATCACTCATCGCTAATGGTCCACTCATACATGCATACTAGTGCCTGGTGTGGATGTTTTTGGAGCGGGGTTGCACTGCTCTCCCTCCCCCAGGCTGTCCAAGTCGGCACTTGGAAAGGCACAGAGGAGTGCTCGCCCTGCCTTAGGCTTTCCACGTATGCGCGTGGAAGGTGAGGGAGGTGAACATAGAGCCTCGAAACAGCAAGACCCAACCCAATACTTAGCTACAACAGTAAGCCGTTGAGTAAATATAATTGATCAAGTATAATACACCCATAAACAGCAATAATCTCCTTACCAAAATCCAATACATCGACCCAGCCCCCAAATGTTTGCTTAATAAAATGAACAAAAACAGAGGGGGGAGCATCCTAGACTCTCATCCATAGAGAAGAACAAAAAGTGCAATCCGTGCATTGGACTATAAAACTACCCTAGCCTTGAGAGGGAACAGTTTAGTTAGTGGATGAGACACATATAAAATAAAATAGACGTTTCTGATGGATCAAGTGAGACTACAAGTCTTTGTGAACAGTTTCGCATGTCAATAACCATAAACCAGTCAAGGTGCCTCATAACTTTAGTGAAGGGTAAAGAGAGCCATAATGGCATTTAGCAGCTAGGACTAAATTGCAGTTCAGCCATTGCTAATAGTTGTCAAAAGTGTAAACACACCAAGTGATGTGCAGACGTTGAAGCTGGCTGTGAGTACTGTTACCGGCTAATTATCCACATCTCCATCCTCCGCTCTGGGGGGTCCTCTCAGCAACAACTTAAGATATTCCTCAGCCTTCCTTGGGCATTGGAAGGATTCCATCACGCCAGCTTTGGATTTGATCTTGAATGTCGCCGGGTAGATCAAGAAGAACTCGATGCCTGGCATCAGGAATAACTCGGTGTCCCTGTCACCTTCCACTGGCTGGTTTGCTGGCGATCCGCCCACGTTGGTACCTGGCTGGTATCTGTTGTTGGCCCGGTTGAGGAAATCCACCCTCCGGGCCATCGCCTTCTTCACCCCCGACGTGGTGGAGTAAATCACTGTCACCTTCGGCCGTTGGGTCTGGCAACCCGGACGGCCAATGTCCCGGCTTCCACAGATGTGCCCTGGTTAACACGAGGTCTCTGGCGAACAAGACTTTCATCCTGAAGGATTATTTCACCTAACAAGCCCTGGATTTTCTCTTCATGACAGAGTCCTGGCTTAATGTCGGTGAGTCTGCTGCTCTGTCAGAATTATTACCACCTGACTGTTCTTACTTCAACTCACCAAGAACCACTGGATGAGGAGGAGGAGTAGCAGTTGTTTTTAAGGAAAGTTTAAACTGCAAGCCGTTGTTGCCCCCTTCTTTCACAAGTTTTGAACTGTGTCTATTCGAGCTGGGGCACTCCAACCCGGTACTTTGCGCAGTAATTTACTGGCCGCCAAAGTACAATCAGGATTTTATTGATAAATTCTCTAACTTCCTGGCAGGTATAGTGCCAAATTATGACACTATCTTAAATGTCAGAGATTTCAATGTTCATGTCTGCTGTCCACTGAAGCCGTTGGCTAAAGACTTTTTACATGTTGTTGACGCTTTTAACCTTGTGCAACATGTTTCTGGTGCCACACAAAAGCACGGGCACACGCTAGACTTAGTTTTATCCTGTTGCTTACTGATTACGTCTCTCCAGGTTTGCCATGTCTTTTTCTCTGACCATATGCCTGTATATTTTGAATTAATTCCACCTGGTCTGGTGACTAAGCTACGCGCTGCTTCGCGCAGGTGCTGGATAGTTGACCCTTCCACAGCGTTTCTCTTTTCTGCCTTCAATCAACAGTGTCTGGCTCTGAGCCACTTTCTGGAGCAAACGCTGAACAGTTTATCTCCTGCTTTCTTACCACTTGTAGTAATATTCTTGATGATGTCGCTCCTCTTAAAATGATGCGCCCCAAACCCTCATCCCAGCCATTGGCTGAATGACGTCACTTGTGCTGCTTGGCATGAGTGCAGACAGGCAGAGCACAAGTGGAAGAAAGATAAACTTAAGGTATCTTATGAAATCATGACAGACACTTGGAAAAAATATCAGAAAGTTGTTAAAGAACCAGACTTAACATTTTTCTGAAATTTCAGTCAACGTTCACAATCCATGTGTTCTTTTTAAAACCATTGATTCTATTTTAAATGCTCCCCAGTCCAATTATCTTGAAGCTTCACCTGAGGTCTGTGAAAAATTTCTGTGCTTTTTTGTTGTTAAAGTCAAAAATATCAGAGCCCTCATATCGCCACCTTTGCATGACCCTTCTGTTGCATACACTTGCCCTGCTGTTTTGCAACAGTTTGTGCCAGTGTCCCTGCCCACCCTTAACAAAATTGTCAATCAGCTTAACCCTTACATACTGTTCGGGTCAAATTTGACCCGTTTTGACTTTTAACAGCAGTAAAAATACCCTAAACGTCATTCTTTAAGCCTGAAACTTGATGACTTTTCCTAAAGTGGCCCAAAATAAATGAAATTAATTTAAAAATATTCATGTGTATTTTTGTTTATGTGCTACAAATTTTTCCCCTCTGAGGCTGTTACAGGTCAAATTTGACCCGTATCTATTTAGATGGATTTTTGATCTACCAGTGTGGGACAAGTGACAAGCAGTGAGAACAGTGTTCAAGATAAAGTTTGTGGTTCAATAAAATATATTCAAATCATTATGAAACTATCATTACCTTGACAGAAACACACACACGCACAGGCATGCACACAGACACACCAAGTTCCTTGTGACCACACATGTCACAAAGACCTTTGGTAAAAGAAAGCTGCTCTTTGAACTCTTTGAAGGGGTAGGGGGAACCTAAAATATTGAAAAAGTAAACAACACATGAGTGATCATATAGAAGTCATCTCGAGGTCAGAGTCTGCCTTGACACAGACATCACAGGTGCACCTGCTCCTGCAATATAATGTACAAAGTAACAAATTAGAATCTGTTTGATTAGAAGGGAGGTAGTGGGAGATGTAACATTATAGAAGGGAAAGAGAGCTGCCATTTCAGTGGTAGACATCATGGCAGCAAGACTAAATGTGCAACAGACCCTGGATCTACTCCTTCGAGATGAGTCTGACACGGATTTAGAGGAGGACGTGTCAGAGCAGGAAGACAATGAAGAAGAAACTCCCCATCTGATGAGAATGACTCTGATGAAGAAGAGGAGAGAGCTGAGGAGACATTTATGTCCAAAACCAGCGCTATCTGTTGGTCATCACTTCCACAAGGTGTTGCAGGCAGGAAGGCAGCAGAAAATGTCATAAAAATGACTCCAGGACCCACACGACTAGCCATCTCCCATGCAGCTGACATTCTGTCCACATTCAAGCTCTTCCTCCGTCCGGCCATTGAAAAAATTGTCATTGAAATGACAAATGTGGAGGGGGTTCGTCACTATGGGCAAGAATGGAAGACCATGGATGTCACTGATCTGCATGCCTACATAGGGCTTGTAATACTGGCTGGTGTCTACAGATCCCGGGGTGAGGCAGCTTCTAGTCTCTGGAATGATGAGACGGGAAGACCCATTTTTCGAGCCACCATGTCGCTGGGAAAGTTTCGCACCATATCAGCAGTGCTCAGATTTGATGATCGTGAGACAAGACCTGCACGGCGCATCACTGACAAACTGGCAGCCATCAGGGATGTCTGGGATAAGTGGGTGCAACAGTTGCACCTCATGTACAATCCCGGACCTGATGTCACTGTGGATGAAAGACTGGTTCCATTCAAAGGTAAGAATGGTCTTTTATTGTTGACAATGCCTCAGTATGGCTCAGTCATATCAAATGGTCAGATTTCAGACCAAATTCTCTGATATCCTATGCAATTCTATATGCAAAGGACATTGTAAAAAACAAGCTAGAGTAGTAGGATGGAAATAATTTTTCTCTGTTTTGTGCTTTCTACAGGTCATTGTCCTTTTCGTCAGTATATGCCAAGCAAACCTGGAAAATATGGCATCAAGTTATGGGTTGCTTGTGATGCACGCTCAAGTTACGCTTGGAACATGCAAGTTTACACAGGGAAGCCAGCTAGTGGAGCTCCAGAGAAAAAACAAGGCATGCGTGTTGTCCTGGAGATGACAGAAGGGCTGAGAGGACACAATGTGACCTGTGATAACTTCTTCACATCTCATGAGCTGGGTCAGGTGCTGCTGAAGAAGAAAATCACAATGGTTGGCACTGTGAGGAGGAATAAACCTGAGCTACCACCTGCCCTAACTGCAACAAGAGGAAGAGAGGTCTTTTCATCCAAGTTTGCCTTTACTCAGGACACCACAGTCATCTCATATATGCCAAAGAAGAGCAAGAATGTGATCCTTATGAGCGCACTACACAAGGCTGCAGAGGTAAGCACTGGGGAAGACAAAAAACCAGCCATCATCCTGGACTACAATGCCAACAAAGGCGGGGTGGACAATCTAGATAAGGTCACAGGCACATAAAGCTGCAAGAGGAAAACTGCCCGCTGGCCCCTTATCCTATTCCACAATGTCATTGATGTATCCACGTACAGTGCCTTCGTAATTTGGAGTGAGCTAACCCCATCCTGGCGGGCAAGCAAGAGGAACTGGAGGAGGTTCTTTTTGGAGGAACTTGGAAAGGCCCTTGTGGCTCCTTCCATGGAAAAACTGCAACATCTCCCCTGCACAGAATAGAAGCCTCAGCAGCATTGGTGAGGGCAGTGCAGCAGTCTGAGCCTGGCCCTGATCAAACAGCATCCACAGGGGCACAGAAGAGAAAGAGATGCAGCCTCTGCCCTGCAAAAAAAGACAGCAAAACTGGGACAACCTGCTGCAAATGTGGCAAACACATGTGCAAGCTGCACACACGTAAAGTGTCCTACCTTTGCTGTGAATGCGGAGAGTAGCAGTGAGGACAGTGACCAAAAGAGAGAACAGTGTTCAATATAAAGTTTGTTGATCAATAAAATATATTCAAATCATTGGGAATTCTATATTCTTTAATTTCTTACATAATATTACATGACATTATCCTGTGTAATAGAAATTCTTCTCTAAAACATATTAATCTCAATTAAAAAGCCAAATCTAGATCACACTATTTTGTCTAATTTCAGACCTATATCGAAGCTTCCTTTTATCTCAAAAATCCTTGAGAAAGCGGTGCTCCTACAAATCCAGTCTTATTTAGATGATCACGGAATATTTGACATTTTCATTCAGGTTTTAAAGCATTTCACAGCACTGAGTCTGCACTTTTAAGGGTTTTTAATGATCTTTTATTGACTACTGACTCTGGCGACTCAGCTCTTTTAATGCTTTTAGACCTAACAGCTGCATTTGATACAGCGGATCACACAACTCTCATTGCTCACCTCGAACACTGTGTTGGCTTAAAAGGCACAGCTCTTAACTGGTTCAGGTCCTACTTGTCTGAGAGGTGTTTTAAAGTGAAAGTTGGTGACTGTGTCTCTTCTTGTGCCCCCCTACCCTGTGGAGTACCTCAAGGCTCTATTCTTGGTCCCATCTTGTTCTCCCTATATCTTCTCCCTCTTGGCTTGATTTTTGAAAAACACGGTATATCTTACCATCTGTATGCAGACAACACTCAGATCTACCTCCCAATAAAGAAAAATGATGGTAGCTCTCTAAAACGTCTGCTGGATTGTCTTAAGGACATAAAAGACTGGATGGCTTGAGCTTTTTAAACTTCAATGAAAACAAAACTGAAATAATCATCTTTGGCTCTAGTGGGGCCCAGGGGATCCCTCTCAGGGAGCTGGACCCTCTTAAAGCCACTGTTTTAAATCTTGGTGAAAACGTTGACAATGATTTTAAATTGGATCAACAAATCAACTCTGTTGTTAAATCCAGTTTTTATCATTTGAGGCTTTTATCCAAGATTAAATCGGTTTTATCTTTTAATGATTTTGAGCGAGTTATTTATGCTTTTATTTCCACATGGTTGGACTACTGTAATGCTCTTTATGTTGGTGTTAATCAGGCTTCCCTCACATGCTTACAGTAAGTCCAAAATGCTGCTGCTCATCTTTCAACAGGTAAACGAAAACATGATCACATCAGTCCAATTCTGGCATCCCTCCATTGGCTTCCCATTCATTTTAGAATTTATTTTAAAATTTTATTGTTTGTTTTTAAATCTTTAAACGGATCAGCACCACAGTATATCTCTGACCTCTTACATGTTTACACCCCCACACGTTCCTTAAGGTCTGCTGATAAGCTCCAACTCGTGGTCCCAAAAACTCATTTAAAAACCTGTGGCGACCAAGCTTTCTCAGCTGTGGCTCTCAAATTATGGAACGAATTTCCACTCGAGATTAAAACACCCCCCACTCTCTCTACTTTTAAATTGTGTCTTAAAACTCATTTTAAGCATGAGAGTTGTGCGGTCTCTGTCCTTTTATGTCTTTTATGGTCTGTTTATCACTTTTATTTCTTTTATGCTTTTGTGTTTGTATTTCATTTATTTTATTTAATTTTAAATGTTTAATACCTGCTTTTATTTCATCTTGACGTTTTCTGCAGTGTTTGTTCTTTCAATTTGATTGTGCAGCACATGGCATTTGATCCCTCCGTCCCCTACAGCAGTCCATTAATCCTCACATTACAGTCTCTGCTCCGGTCCTTCATGTCTGCACTGCTCAGCTAGCTTGTCCTCCAGGTCCTCCAGTGTCATGCTCAGCTAGCTTGCTGGTGTTAGCTCCCATGTTAGCTTGCAGTGTGCAAACCTTGTTTCTGATTTCACAGATTTCCTTCTTTTGCAATGTAAAGTCTGCTCAAAAACCTGACACCTCACATTGAAGATTGTCGAGTTGTGCAACAACGCCAGCAAAACAGGTGTCCATACTGGCAATACGGGAGTCTATTTTTCCCAGCATGCTGTCCACAGCCTTGATTAGCCTTGATTGCACAGTGTCTGTTTTAGCTTCCAGCTCAGCCATTGCGCCCCTTCCTGATCTCAAAATTACCATTAGGTGAAGTCTATCCCGTATAAAAACGTCAGGGTGTAATACTCAACACAGAAAATAACTAGCTGACCAAGGAAAAGTCACCCAAACTGTCTTAATGAACAAAATTTTAAGCGATGGTTTGAGAAGCTTAAGTCTCAAACCGACCGTATGGTATACCTGTACGTTGAAAACTATGATGGAAAGCGTATTTGAAAAACAGTTATTTGTCATGTACTTTTTTTGTTTGACCAATATTCCATCTGTGAACATGAAGAGAGCAGGGTGTATGACAGTACTGCAATCAGCAGGAAGGGGGCTCCAAATATGTTTCCTACCCAGTCCGTGCACACAGAAACCCATTCACAATTGTCAAAAATATGTGCCTCTGAAAATGATGAACTTTTGGACTTTCCTGTCAAGCCAGTGTTAATCAACCTTCAGTTTTTTTTTTCGCCTGATAGCAATTTCAGTGCTGACCACATTTTAAAATCAAATAAAACAAAATATGTCACTCCAGATAAGTCTGCAAAAAGATAAATGAATAAATAAATAAAATGACAAAAAACAAACAAAAAAACCAACTTTTTTTTCTTGATTCACTATTTCCCTGAAGCACCACCTGTTCATTTGTTTCTGGCAATTCCCGTTGTTAATATCAATATTAAGTTACAAGGAGGCTTCAATCTAGATTGCATCTACAGTACAAAGGTAAAAAAGAGAGACATCTTCCAGTGATTAAGGCTACATGTAGTTAGCGGGTCTACTAAAAAACACACATTTTGAGGCTGATTAATCAGTAACTACTAACCTGATATAGTTGCATCAAATCAATTATTTTTTTTCTCTGGTAATAAGCATTTATAGGGGAAAAAAAACAAAAAACTCTTTAAACCTTTAAACAACAATGTCTATCCACAGCCTAACAAACAAATTCCTATTCATTGGACTGTTCAAAGCATGGCCAGTAATTCCATCATGTTACATATTTTTCCACGTCAGTGGTGAGTTTTGATATAGGAAAAAATTGAGGAGTTCAATAAGAGGATGAAGAAGTTTGAAGCTGTGCTGGGGGATGGAAATACAGGGAGAAGAAAAGCAAGACAACAGGAACCAGTCTTTACTCCAGAGAATGGTGTTTATATCTATGGGTGAATACATAAAGTTGGTTGAGCGTGAGAAAGAAACTCACAGTGAATGCAGCACACACTGGGAAGCTGAGACAGACCTCGGGGCTCACAGAAAGCTCAGAAATCAACGAAGGGTGGATAATCTACACACAAGACTATTGTGGGAAAAGTGCCTTTGCCTTCTGTATTAAAGTGATTGAATGGGCAGTTCTCTATGGTCTGTGTAGAGGGGGGATATGGACTTTGGTGTAGGCTGGATGGCAAACTGGAAAGAAAACTGGCATTCAAAATTTATAGCCAGGTAAGAGCAAATACACTGTGGAGAGAAATGAAAGAGTGATGCAAAAGAGGGTGAAAGTGATGCAAGTATTTAAGTATCTGCAAAAACCCCTCACTGAAGCACAACACCTACATACTACATGCACAGAGAGCACACACGCACAGAGAACACACACACACACACACACACACACACACACACACACACGCAAACACGCTCTCACAAACACAAATATGCAGAAAAGAGGAAGGGGTGTATTGATTTGACTAATTTCAATGTGCTGAGTCGCTATGAAACACCTGCCCCAGACACAAGCGCAGCTGTTTGTCTTGGCAACAACACTGCAACCCTGCAACCCTCGATGACCCCAATCCATCATCCACACACATGCGCACACATACACACATGCACGTACGCATGCACGCACACACACCCTGCCAGCCAGCAGGCCACTTTTCCTAAGACCTCTTGTGGTGTCACATGAGTAGGAGAGGGACAATGAGAGCAGAAGTCCCTGGAGGTTCAGGTCTTCACCTTCATGACTTTACAAATGCATGCTCACACATACACAAAAACTCTGTAACACATAAAGAAAGTCATACTTAGAATACATGTGTAATGTGAGATAAGGGAAACAGACATTTACATATATAAATAAACACACACACCACGCCCCAGTCCCACACTTATCCATGTTTGATTTCTTTCCTGTCATATTATTCAGATGAGAGGTCAAAAAACCTGCTTCCCTCTCTGTCTTGACTGACAATGAAGGGGCGTTACCTCATGTTGGGTTCCACTGGGTGAGCAAAGGCCCCAACACAGATAAATTACGTACAATATGTGTGGCCATGCACACACACACACACACACACACACACACACACACACACACACACACACACACACACACACACACACACACACACACGCATGCACACAAACAAACACTCGCTCTCATTCTCTCCCAGACACATAAGTTGCAGTGCAAGCTCATTTATCTGTAAGACAGTTACTAACTATGCATTTGTGTCAGATTTAGAAACACACATCCATGTAGACAGGCCGTCTGGGAAAAACACCAATTTGAAGCACTTTGGTTTGAATCAATGGACAGCAGCCATTAGTCCAGAGGGAGGAGCTTCAGACTGAAACATCTAATTTCAGAGAAGTGTGTTTGTGTGCTTAGAAAAATGTTTCTGCTGTACAGAGCTGGGGGGATTTTTCTTCCTTCATTATTTTTATATTAGTTTTGAATTTATTTTCTAGTTTGTCATTTCTTTATTTTTAAAAACAATGGAAGTTTTAGAATCATAAAAATTTAATCTTTTGATTCATTTTTTTTTTGTCCACTTTGGATTGGTGTCTTGACAACATGGTGACGACTTTTGAAACTGAGACATTCATGGTAAATCATGATTATTCAACATAATTATTAGTTTAAATAGTATCAATGTCAAATTATCCCAAAATAATTCAGCTTTTATGCTAAAAAAGGATAATGGACATTACTAATGAGGCTGAGTAATGTAATGTTTTGCATACATATTCAAGTGTCAAAGAGAAAAATCAGATTCCTGTCAGGTCAAACAATTGTGTGCAGCAAGCTATTTTTATTTGAAAAGTGACAAACAAAGATGACAAAACATCCTTATATTAGTGTGTGTGTGTGTGTGTGTGTGTGTGTGTGTGTGTGTGTGTGTGTGTGTGTGTGTGTATACAAGCACAACAGAGGAAATGTTTTATCTCACCTCACAGGGCAAGGCACTGACTCAGAGGGAAGAAGCAAGATAGATTCTTGGCCACAGTGCATTTATCTCAATTACCTCCAGCAACTCCAGGCATCTACATTCTATTGATGACAGCCCAGGGATTTTATTCCAGCTATCTGCATTATCCTCTTATATCAAATGTCTAATGCGCCCCTCACTCACAGTAAGGTATTTTTTCAGTGGAATTAAAAGAAAAAGGATGATGTTTTTTAAAACTTTTCTCCCAAAACTGCATTAAATCTAGTTTAATTTAGCTAAAATTTGTGGTTATGCAGATTCAAAACTCTTGCCATCCCCCTGCATGTGTGAGCAACCCTGAAAATGATGTGGACATCTAATTCTGAAAATTTTAATAATCAAGCCTTTGACAAGACAGTGGCATTGAATTTGTTCTAGTTTAATTCAACTGAAGCTGAAGTAGTAATTACTCTTATTCAAATAAAGGTCACAGGCCTAAAAGTCTGCTATTGACGAAACAACATAATTTATGGTCTCTGCCTTGAAATTACTGAAAAATCCTAAAAAAAAAGGTGTATTATATAAAATAAAATTGAAAATTATTAATAATCATAGAACATTAAATGTTAGTATAAATATTTACAACTGGACAAAAAAGACCACAAAATGAAGACATTGGAAAGTATTCAATGTGTAATAGGACTAGATTATACTCAGTTCACTTGCAATAAAATCAGGCTCAGTTTGATAAAAATTTCATATATGTCTTCATGAACGGTTTCTTTTTTGGAACCGTTCGTCCTTTTTTTAAACTGGCTGATATCCACCCGAACACCACAGGTAGCCGCATATTAGCGGCTAACCTGCAGCACACCGTACACTGTTCACCATGTGACTGACTATTTACTCCCCCCCCACACACACACCCCTCTCCCTCTGTGGTGCACCCACTGTTGACAGCTCCTCCCCAGAGCTCCCCCTGCTGGCCAATTCTGTCACCGACTCCCTCTGCCACAGGTCTTCCCGTCATCTTTTCCCCACTCCCAAATAATCACAGTAGCATCCAACTCCTCCCTATTCCTGTCCATATCACCAACAGACACCACTCTGATAGAAACACCACCCGCACTGTCAATCACTCTGTTTTAGGAAGCCCATCCATGCTGGCTCCCATCTTCACCAAACATGACAATACCTCTGTCAGCTTTGGACTTCTCAACATCCGCTCACTCACCAACAAGGGATACATCATCCACAATCTCCTCACTGACCGCAAGCTGGACTTCCTCTTTCATCACTGAAACATGGCAACAACCAAATGACTTCTCATCACTTAACAACTCCACCCCCCGGACTTCACCTACCTCTCCCACCCCCGCAGCCACGGCCATGGTGGAGGTATCGCTGTCATCCACCACAAGAAGTGGAAGGCTCTACCGCTGTCCCTGCCTCTCTTCTCCTCATTCGAACTTCTGGCACTTACACTCCCTGGACCCACTCCCACCAGCATTGCCACCGTCTACCGCCCCCCCAAGCCCTACACCGACTTCTTAAATGACTTCTCTGTTCTACTCACCCATCTATGCACACTCTCACCAAACACAATAATACTGGGGGACTTCAATATCCACATTGACAACACCAACCTGCCCCTCACCAGAGACTTCTCATCATGCCTGGACAGTTTTGGACTCCATCAATTCATCAACTTCCCGACACACACTACAGGACACACTCTGGATCTACTCTGCTGCTCTGGCCTCATCCCATCCAACTGCACAGCCGATGAGCTCTATGTAAGTGACCACCTCCTCATCTCCTTCAGTATTCCTCTCTGCCTCTCTAGAATTAACT